CAGCTTCTTGAAGTTGGAAACTGAGATGAGCTGCTAGAGCCCACAATATTTATAGGCTTTCTTTTATCCCCTGTAAGACCTCCTAAGTCTTTCCAAGATTCTTTTAATTTAGCATCTAGTTTCCCATCACTAGTTGACCAGTGGTTAAGTAATCAGGACTTCAAAAGCCTTGATAATATCAAGAATGCACTTGTGATATGAAAGAAACATCAGTTGGTTATTTTATAATTGGCATTACATATGTGCCATTCAGCCATTTTATTTTACAGAATCATATCTTCTAGTCATTTTTTTTTTTTAATGGTAACAGATTCAGGATGTCTGTATTCTAGGAGCAAAGAAATAAAAAGTGTACTTACCCCTATTATTTCTTTTTTTCTCTTAGAAATAGGAAATAGGCACCACCTAAGGTTTTATCTATGCACAATAAATAAATGTAAAGTGTTGCACATCCCATGGGAGAGTTTACATGTATTTAATTTCTTGCCTAGCAAGTCTTCTGTAATGCACCAACTTTAAAAAAAAAAAAGTTAAAATTAAATTGCAAAATTAATTTCTAAGTTTTATGAACTTTTTATTAGGAAATATTCAAGGCAATATCCTAGATAAAACATATTACAAATTATATGTTAGGTTTCATGAGACCCTCCCCTCTATGCTAGAAAGGATGGATTTCATAGTCATAAAGAAAGACTTGTGTCCACTTTGTCTCAGCATCTCCTCCACAAAGGAATGTAAAAGAAATAAACAGAACCTACTCCAATTCTTGATGTAGAAACTGAGAAGTGCTCTATCTTCTGTAAAAACTAGGGTGACCAGCTGTCCCACTTCCCTTCAGATTGTCCAGATTCAGACACTGATAGTCCGAAGCACCCAAAAACACTCAGTCCCAGGCAGATCAGGATAGTTGCCTTGATTCAGGTACCTTCCCTGGGAAACTTTGTGTGGCTCTGTGAATGGACAGCCGGACAGATCTTAATGTTAAGTACTTAAGATTTTCTTAAAAGATATGTCAGATCTTCCTTTCCACTGAATTCAGCATCAGTCTTTGCTTTCCCTGGTTCCTGTCATCTCGTTCTCTGAACCACTGGATGAGCTGGAGGCCTGGTTTTCACTCTTCTTACATTTATAATGCTTTAGTATTTCATTTCCCCCAAAAAGCTTATGCAGAAAAGGCACCTGCTGTCCCTGGTTTTCCAAGAGTTTGTTTTGACTCCTCTGCTCATGGTGTATTTACTTCAGCAGCCACATTCTTTCCGCCCACCTCAGCTAAAGGAAAGATCCCATCACAGTATGCCGGAGGTGTCTGCTGTGGAAGAACTTGGCAAACAGCTTTTTGTGTTACCCTATCTCAGGCATTCACCAAGGGCATGGTATCATTGAGTGGGTCCCTCTTCACTGCCTGTGACCGTCCCCTTACCCACACCCTCTGCTGCTGATTAAATAGCTATCTGAATCCATATCCCATGCTGGAAGTCTCACGTGTGGCACAGTAAGGAACTAATTAGACTTAGACTTGAACCTTTAAATTTTTGAAAACTTGGCAAAGCTTATTTGCATAACTCATGGGGCTGCTTCTCTTTGAATTTCATGTATCATTTCTTAAAAAAATGTATGCCCTCATACTCACATTCTAACACTCTGGTCTTATCAGCTGTGTTATTTCCTAAACAGTTGAAAAGAAAAATTGTCACAGATATACAGGCTGTGAAATTCTTCTTCATTGAAAATAAGACGCATATGTCAGTATTCATTCAGAAGCTGAAATTTGCTTTGCTTGGTGCTTTTGAAAGTGTAAAAGCAGTTTCAAATCATCTTCATCATATAGCTGTCTTTTTAGCAGGTGCAAAAATACCGTTTCCTAGAAATGATTGAGGCTTGAGCAAACAGCCGTGTGCTAATAGATACAAATTCTGTCCATTGGCAAAGAGGAGTACTTTATTAAAATGACTTGTAATAAAGTGTATGTTTAATTTTATCTGCAGTGTGACAGTGTAACATGTGGAACAGTGAAGTGGATAGAAACCTTATTCAAATGATACCCTTTAGTGGGGGCTGCTTTCCTGGTTTTTTTTCTTTCTGGGCTTAGTTGTCCTGACTCCCATAGTCTGGACCCTCGGTCCAGGGGTCCTCAGAAGTTTCTTTCACTTGGGACTTTATGAAAGCAAAAAAAAAAAAAAGAGTTTTTGAGACCCCACATTTTTGAGAACCCACCTTATAGAATGAGACCTATGTAAGTGAAGTAGACAGTAACGTAAATGAAATGATGTAAACCACAGACTCCAAATGACACACAGTTTAGAATTTGTGGACAGTTTGAGTGTGCAGTGGCTGAGAGTAGACGTTTGTTCCTGGGCTGCCCAGTGTCATCTTTCTTCCTGGGTCATCTTTCTGAGTCTGCATGCACTCTTTGGGGGTGGGGGCGGGGGGGATGTTCTCCTCCCACTCAAGTTAGTGCAGCAGTGCTGTCCGAGAACACCAGTTCGTATCAGAGCCTTAGGGAAAGTTCTCAGACTTGACATTTGTACCTACTGATGGGTTACATTAATGGGAAGGGGGCTTTTAACAGCCAGAGGCAGAAGTTCCCTTGAGTTACTTTCGTGGAACAGGGGATTTATGGTAAGGATATATGTTGACTGACACTAGGAACCAGCTGTTTTCCCATTCTCTCGTGGGCCACATGGTCTTTTTCTCCTGTTGAGTCTTCTCTTTATCTGTTTTCTTCTCTTCCCTCTACAGATAGAATTCTTTGACTTACTTATTATTTCCCCTCCCTCATAGTTCAACTCTCACCTGTGTCTATGGGCCTCGTTCTAAATTCCCAGCTTAAAGCTGCAGCTCTGAACATCGCTGGCTCAGTCTCTCTATTTTCTGAATGAAAGTCCCAGTATGACTTGGAGTATTATGGATTTTAATACTTGTGTCTCCCACTAGAAGAGGAGAGTTTCTTGAGCATAGGGATGATATCTGTATCCTTTGCCACTGGGTGCTTACCATGCCTAGCACAAAATAGGTACTGAGTAAATATGTTATGAATAAATAAAATATGCAAAGAACTATCTGAAATTGACTAATAAGAGGAAAGGTTTCTTTTTTTGAGGGTGAAGGGCCAGAGGAAGAGAAAGAATCTTTTTTTTTTTTCTTAAGATTTTTATTTATTTGAGAGAAAGAGCATGAGATGGGCGAGGGTCAGAGGGAGAAGCAGACTCCCTCCTAAACAAGAGAGCCCAATGTGGGACTTGATTCTAGGACTCCAGGATCATGACCTGAGCCGAAGCCAGTTGCTTAACCAACTGAGTCACCCAGGTGCCCGAGAGAAGAATCTTAAGCAGATTCCAGGCCCGGTACAGAGCCCAACATAGGGTTCATTCCCATGACCCAGTGATCATGACCTGAGCTGAAATCAGGAGCCATTTATTTGCTCAGCTGACAGAGCCACCCAGGCACCTGGGGAAAGGTTTCTACATGAGCTGAATTGGCTGAGTCCTCTCAAACGCTAGTCGGTTTGGACTGAAGTCACCTATTCTTTGCCTAATTACTAAACATTTGCCACTGTTAAATATTTCTCCCTGACTTTCAAACTGCTCTGCAAATTAAGGTCAAAATGTTCAGTAGGGATCAATGTGATGAAAACATTCAAATAGTAAATGTTGGGAAAGAGATCGTTGCCATGGTGACTTCTGCTTGAGGGAAACCTCACACCAACCAGAGTGAGTCAGCTAACCTATCACCAACTCATAGTTGTCCAGTTGCCACGAACCTACAATCCAGCCACAGTATCTGTGCTGATGGCAGCAACCCTGTATTTGATTCATTAGTGGAAGGTTCTTATTTTGGCAAAATGAGCTTGTAAAAGTAGGTAGATAGTGGCAGAGGTGGTGCGAGAGGGAAGGTGTGAATCCAACTGTTGGAAGCTGGAAGTGTGTTTTCCCTAAGCTATGGGATGGCTTTTCTCCTTTCGAGGGGCCACGGTTTTCTGACTGTCCGTCCTGTGTGTGTTCCCAGCCACACTGCTGTGATGCTGAAGTGCCATTTTGCTGCCTTGTGGGGGAAAACACTTCCTGATTAGAGGCTGGATGTTGGACAAAGCCCTTACTGAGAGAAACACGGATACCAGACACTCCTTCCTTCCCACGATTAAATACTCATGGGCCTTGTTCTTTTTTAATTGTTTCACACAACGATCTTTTGGTAGCAGAAATCACCCTAATGTGGTTTTCTGGCATTAATCCTAAACCTTCTTTCCATATTGTTTTATCATGAAATAGAAAACATTTTCACAGGCATTCTGAAAATTATCTTAGTCAATGTTATTCCCTTCAATGTAGTTACTTTGGAAGATGAAATGTTTATTCCAATGATATGGTCATTGCCCAGAATGTTTTAGAACTCCTCTTTCAATGCCATTAACTTGCTTCTCTTGTATTCTCAAGTAAGTGTCATTGAACTCCTTAGGAATCTATGGATAGATATTAATGTGTTTTTGCTATATTCTACATATGACGCTGATACAGTCACCTCATCTTTTACTTCTAAACAGTGGAAGATCTGAACATTTAATGAGCACTTCTGTTTTCATGTCAATTTCCAAATTTGCACTTGGTTAACTGTGGAGCACTTCACTTGACTTTAATTTTAGAAACTGCCAGTCCAGCCTCTCAGAAGTGATATTTGCTCTTAGATGTTAGAAATGCTCTTATCTGGGGATGCCTAGGTGGCTCAGTCATTGGTCATCTGCCTGCGGCTCAGGTCATGATCCCAGAGTCCTGGGATCGAGCCCCACGTCTGGCTCACTGCTCTGTGGGAAGCCTGGTTCTTCCTCTCCCACTCTCCCTGGTTGTGTTCCCTCTCTCGCTGTGTCTCTCTCTGTCAAATAAATAAATAAAATCTTAAAAAAAAAAAAAAAGAAATGCTATTATCTACATTTAGTGGAATTTTAGGTTTCATTGCCTAAAACCTGAAGCATAAGTAGAATGGATTTTTTTTCTTATCATCTGCAGGAGATGTTTGATGTTATACTGGATGAAAATCAGTTGGAGGATGCGTGCGAACATCTGGGAGAGTACCTTGAAGCTTACTGGCGTGCTACCCACACTACCAGTAGCACCCCCATGACCCCTCTGCTCGGAAGGAATTTGGGCTCAACTGCACTCTCACCATATCCCACAGCAATTTCCGGGTTACAGGTATTGTCACTTTCCACACATGTTTTTTATAGTGTTAGGTTGAAGATTTTACAGGGAACCTGATTGGGATGAAGACTGGATAATCGTTAATGTGAAGAGGGAAACATGGGTGGGCATTATATATATATACATATATATAAAAAAATCTAAAATATTACCTCACCATAGTCTACCATAGGCCGAGTTACCCACAGTGGCCCTTTCCATAGAACTTTGCTCTCTGTTAATGTACAGTAACTTTTACTCAGACAAATTAATCCCTCCTGTGTCTAAACTCTGCCAGGACACACTCCTACACAGTGCAACTGTCCATTACTTCTCCAGGTCACTTCTTAAAGATTATACATTGATGGCAGGGTAAGGCACCATGGCAAGCTAAGTCAAGTGTTTTGGAACAGATGGGCCTTTTGACTGCCCTTAATTAATCCTGCCCTCCCAGACTGCCAGGCCTGTCCCCGAGCTTGCTCAGTACAGAACATGGACACGAGCAGAGCCACTCTGTTCAGAAATGGTGACAGATCCCTGAGTTTTCTTGGGGGTATGTGGGCGTCCATCTTGGCCAATGGTGATGGCAGGTGTCCTTTAGGAAAGTTGGGGATAAGTGCAGGAGAAGGAGGTTTTTTCTTCTGCTCTTCTAGTGCTGCACTCAGGGCTGGGTGTGAGGAGCTAGAGACAGTATGATACAAAGGGACTTTTGCCTTCCTACATCAGTTGTTATTTACCATTTATCAAGCACCCGCTGGAATATAGCCTAACCCATAGCTGGCTAAGGAACTTGTAGTCTGTTGAGCCATCTTGTATCGTGACTAGTTTTATATTCATGGGCTATAACGATAATCATAACTGGAGATCACATAGACTTAACTCTGAGAGAAAGGGCACTTTCTAAAATGCTATTCTAAACCATATTACTTTGCTGCAAAATTTCGTCTTTGTAAGCAAAAACCTGCCCTACAAATGAATAGCTTTTGAGGCTGGAAATGAACAGGGGAAATGTGCTCGTGTAATATGTGTAATACGTGGGACTGTCTCTTGCATGGTTTCACGGCCTCTGTGCTAATCCAAGTGTAGACATCTCCACTGACTAGTTTGGATTGGCTCCGAATTATACTCGGTGGGATGAGAAATGGATGCACAAAGCAATATGCTTCTGTAGTGTAGGTTAAGCAAAATGTGCTTTGTTTATGGACAGAACACTCCGGACTCATCACCTCTAAAACATCCACCTGCAGTGGTTCTCCCAGCTTCACTTGAATTAACATAATACTCTTTGTCCTGGACACTATCTCTCTTAGTGACCATGGGTATTTAATTGCTAGACTCTGGCTGGGGTTAAAGGCACAGGCTATGCCTGCTGAATGATTTTTCCCCCTGTGTGAAGGTGTCACTTAGAGGAACTGGATCTGGGTCCTTGGTCTCATCAGGATCCTGTTTCTTTTTTATTTTTTAAAAAAGATTTTTATATATTTATTTGAGATAGCATGAGAGGGGAGAAGCAGACTCCCTGTGGAGCTGCGAGCCCGATGCGGAACCAAATCCCGGGACTCCAAGATCATGACCTGAGGCAAAGGCAGTTGCTTAACCAACTGAGCCACCCAGGTACCTGGGATCCTGATCCTTAACTGAGGTGACCTAAGTAGAGAGACACAGCTATGATACATGTTTTCCCGTAATTTGAAGAAAAATGTTGAGTAACGGTTTCTGAGCCATCAAATAAGTGTTTGACAGTATCAATTTCAGTTAATGATATTAAAAGAATTTAGTTTATATCTGAAGGTAATTTTTGTGGGACATTTCAGTTGAGGAAGCAAGAATTGTAAATATCAGTTAGCCAGCTTTAGAATTATTGTATACTCCTTTGGAAAAAATATTGCTGAGAGCCTTAACATTTATGTATGATGAAGAAACAAGCACATTAGTTTATGGACAGCACAAATCCTAATTTCTTGAATTTTTTTTTAAAGGTATGAGGAACGTTCAGCTAGATAAAGGTGAAGTGTGTGACTTCAGGAGGAGAAGGATTTTATCAGTTCAAGAGAAATAAAATAGCAAATGCTATTCTGAACTTTAACTTATTTCCCAATAGTAAAGTGATCCTCATTTTTGCAGTAGAAGTGGAGTTATTAGGTCTTCCTAGATGCATTAAGTTCCATTCAGCAGTTAACTGTCAATTGTCTATTTTTAATAGGAAGCATAATCAGATAGCATTATGTAATTAAATTCATAAACTAGGGGCGCCTGGGTGGCTCAGTGGGTTAAGCTTCTGCCTTCAGCTCAGGTCATGATCTCAGGGTCCTGGGATCGAGCCCCACATCGGGCTCTCTGCTCAGCAGGGAGTCTGCTTCCTCCTCTCTCCCTCTTCCTGTCTCTCTGCCTACTTGTGATCTCTCCCTGTCAAATAAATAAATAAATAAATAATCTTAAAAAAAAAATTCATAAACTATTTGCATTTTAGTATCTTTGCATGTTGTGCCCCAAATAAAACAGACCAGATCTTTTGAGTAGATCATTTGTGCATCAAAATGTTTTATTAAATCAGTTAACATTTTGTTGTGCAGACCCTAATGCTGTACGTACATTTACACATTCTAGATGAATGAAACGGACATTATGTAATCAATGAACTATCTGCTATTTTTAGAGTCAGCGTATGAGGCACAGCAACCACTCCACGGAGAACTCTCCAATTGAAAGACGAAGTCTAATGACTGCTGATGAAAATTATCACAATGAAAGGGCTCGGAAGAGTAGGAACCGCTTGTCTTCCAGTTCCCAGCATAGCCGAGATCATTACCCTCTTGTGGAAGAAGATTATCCTGACTCATACCAGGACACTTACAAACCCCATAGGAACCGAGGATCGCCTGGGGGATATAGCCATGACTCCCGACATAGGCTTTGAGTCTGCAGAAGCAAACAAAAAATTCATCTGTTGACAATTTGCCATAGCACTGCTAGGATAAACCAATCATCTTAACTTGGCAAGTACAGCACAGTATTTACTGTGCTTATGGGCTGTTGTCATTTGATGCTAAGTAAGGGGCAAAAAAAAAAAGTACATGATGCCCTTAAGTCTAGATGGTTATTAGATGCCCAGTCATATAGATATTTTTAAGCTCAGCATTTACATAACAGTACCTTTTGTTTTCTTCATTAGATTTAGACACATCGATTTGTAATTTTAGGGTACTTACCAAGGCACATATAAAATAATTTCCCATGCTGGAAATTCCAAATGACCAGTTCCAGTTGGAACCAATTTATAAACCAATTCCTGTTGGAATTTGGGCAAATCGACTAGAAAGTCTACTTGAGCATGTTGCAGTCAATTTAAAAATTTGAAAAAAAAAAGCCACAAAAAAACCAAAAACCTAATTAATAAGAAAATCAAAATACCAAAAGAAGCCAACACCAAGTATGGTATTTATTTGCTGGAAGCTAAATTTACACGTAAAGTGGGAATGTATAAACATTTTAACATATGTTAATGTTGACAGAATGGCTTTTCAAACTTACCAGAAGTATTGATAGTGCCAAAAAAAAAGCCCACCTCAAATTAATGCAGAAATTGTACACTCTCCTCAGATTTTAATATTTTTGTTTCTTTCCTGGCACAGCTATTGTATTCAAAGTGTTTTGCCTTTTGTTTAGTCACCACTGTTAGCTTGTTTGAAGTTGGCAGAAAAAAAACTCAAAATTTCTTTAGCAGTGAAAGAGAATAATATAGAGAAACCCAATCATAGCTGGTAATGGGAAATGGAAAACCGGGTGTTGTTTCCCCTTTCCTCGCTCTGAGCACAACTATATACATCCAGGAATCTGGAGTCAGACAGTAAGGATGGGCGCAGATCCTCCCGAGTGCGAAGCTAAACATCTCCAGATGGGAATTCATCTTTCCAACTTCCCACAAACATGGGCCGGTATTTCCTGCCAGCACAATTGCATATCTTTCCATTGCTTCATTCAGTCTCTGTCTTTGAATATGTGAATGTTCTAGCCCTTCCCCAAATTCTTTATAGTCATGCTAAGAACTTTTGTTTTACATGGAAACACTCAATTTTGATATTGAAAGCTACGTTTATGCAAAATGATGAAATGAAAAATGTGAAAACAAATGATGAATTTAAAAGCTTGCAATAAAAAATAAACTCAATAGATTCAGAGTATATTTGTTCACTAAAATTACAGCATTTTTATTGTCAAGTATTATAAAGAATTTGGAGATTGAGCTGCCTTATTTCTAATGAACACTCCTCTTCACCTGTTGAGTCTTGACAGTTTTTCCAGTGGCTAAAATTACAGAATTGGTGACCTTCTATCTTATATTATCAAGGAAGCCTTAGATTCACTATGATCCAAGGAATTATTGAAATTGACCCTTTTATACAATACACAAATATCTTTCAGGAAAGACTCTTGTTTCTAAAAGTCCACAATGCGTGCATTTTTCTAAAGCCCCAGTAGGACAAGGCATAAAAATCCCTTTCTACCGGTACATGTCATGAAGCCTATATTTGGAAAATAATAATAATTGATTTCTATTACCTTATTTTCCTACCACGACTTTCACTATTTAGGCTTTCAAAACATACACCCGTTAAATAATTTTCCTGACCATGAAAATAAATTCCATATTCTTGATCAGTTATACATATTTTGAACCCCATCATGACCTCCCATGTTCCCTCCCCTCCTGTTCCCTGTGCATACTCCATTTTGAACCTGTTTAGCTATGACGAGGATGCCTATAATTATGTAAGTTATCTCACATATTTGATACAATTGAATATAGGGGCTCAGTAAATTCTAAAAGTTAACATGTGATATTGGCTTGCGAGTTTCTTTTGTCATCTAGTGAAGCTTACAGAACTTTCAGTTAAGACATTTAAAAGAGCTGTATCCATTAGACACTTTACTAAGCATTTAACCTGCCATTAGTGAATACTTTGTTAGAGCACAGAAGAGCATTTTCCAGCAAACGAAAATATATTTATTACATGTACAGCACATATTTGCATGAGAAAGAGAACATTAGCCAAAACATTTTTCTATATGCTTTACTGGTTTCTTGTTTGTGCGCATTAAAGTATTTAATTGCAAAGAGTGCACCAAGGTGATAAATTTAGACTAGACAGCTGTTCAGCTTTTTCTGTAGTAGCATTAGCAATCTGGTCACTTAACTACTTTAAGATATTTACACTTTATGGCAGGTAGCTGCAACAGCATTTACACATATTTCCTAGTCAGCGAGATTACCATATTCTTTCAATTTTTAAAAATCACTTGTTTTTAAAGCCTCTCAAAGCCTTGTTTCTAAGTCTTCCATGTCATGCTGATGCAGAGAGAGGTCCATTCAATATCTGTGCACAAAACCAATTGTCATTTACCATCAAGTGTCTGTACCTGTTTTGCTTTGCATTCTTATTCAAAAGCTAACAGTCTTGGAAAGGGTATAATGTATATTTTCTTGATGGATATATTTAAAATTTTACTTTGATTTGGCATATTATTTTCCATTCCTTTTGTAATAAGTTTATCTTCTCCAAGTAAATAAGAGATATACATTTTCCTTTTTTTTAAGTGTTAGAGTTTACTGTGTAAATGATACTAAAAATACAGATATATACTAAATGAAAGTTTTATTTTTGCCAAGCATATCAAGCAACTTTGAAAAATATGTATTCCACAAAATACTTTGTTTTTAACTGATTTTATTTCAAAATAGCAAATGATAAGCGGGAGAAACAAGTCTTACAATGTTTTGAGGCTGTTTTACCTTGTGTAAATCACACATTCTGTAACTTCAGTATATGTAATATCAGAATATGTAAATTACATATTCTGTAATTTCAGTCTGCGAACATGTAACACTGTAGACTCACGTGACAATGTGAAAATGTAGGTCTGAGAAAAAAGAGAATATAATTTGTCAGTCCTGATGTTAATTCTCAAGGCTATAACGTGACTCCAGTATTATAATCAACAATGTTATCTTGTTTACTCCAATATTTAAAGCAACACTTGGAAATGTTTATAAATGACTGATGATTCTCTCTTATATTTATACAGTTCTATTGGAAAGCAAATTGAAATTAACAATTTGGACTGATAGTGTTTCCTAATAAGAGAGTCTTAATTATGTGACAATATGTCATTGCACTTAGTCCTTAATGAAATGAATTTTTTAAACATAAGACAAACTATAAGAAAAGTATTTGTTCCCTTTGAATAATTTGTTAATTACTTTAATTATTATTGTTGTTGTTTGCAAAATGTATTTTTGGAATGTTAACCTCTTTTCATACCTGCATACTTGAACTTGTCTTTTGTGTGGGGGCCTTAAAATTCATAATAGGAAGCTAGGGCACTGAAAGGGAGGGAGAGAAGGAAATTATGCCAAAAGATAGTTTGCAAATTTAAACCCTGAATGAACATATCATAAAATGTTGTTGAGACCCAGGATGTCAGTCAAGAATGTTTCTAGGTAACCTTAGTTTGCATGCCAATGTATTTTTTTAGTTATACAATTTTATTTTGGTATTTGCTAAAAAATAAAAATGATGTAATGCCACTGTAGGAATTGCCCTATATATTAATATTTATACTACCTCTTCTCTAGAGAAGACAATCTGTCTTTAAAGAGAAAAACACTTTTCAATAAGTAGTGATCAAATTTATTACTCTTACTGCTAACCTAGCTGCAAAACTAAATGCATAAATTCTTAAAATATACTTTCCCTTTAAATTTTAGACTGTTTCCAAAATACTGTTGTCACCCTTCATTTCTTCCATGTTAGTGAAGTTTTCTTTGAATTGGTTCACAGTTTATCAGGACACAAGGTTAATTTAAGTCATCATAGGGAACGAAACAAATTGCAAGGGAGTTGCCTTTGTGTGCAATTTGTTATAATACCTAGCTCTAAGCCTAAAGAGTAGATCCAGAAACTTGATATTTCAGTGCAGCTGGTTTGAAAATTCAAATTTTATTGATCTTTAATGTCTCCTGTGGACAGTTAGCCATTTCCTACATAAGCATATGTATTATCTTGGACTCCCATGTCACTGAAGCAAACTTCATATAAATGTTCTAAATAAATGGGAATGTACCCCTTATTTCTTTTATATTTCTGCCTTTGTGTTTCATGACAATGTTGCATGTTGTTTTCTTTTTAATTATGTAAAATTCATCTTTGAATGACTATATGAATGAAAACATTATAGCAAATTATGTAATAAAATTTGTTTTCTTAGTTCCTCATATCTTTAAATATTGTTAATACTCTGTTACTAAGTGTCCAAAGGGCAGAGAACAGGCCACCTCTTTTACCTAATTATGATCAAACCAGTCAATACAATACTTGTCCTCAGACAACAAGGATAACTTTTTTGTTGTTAACTTAAACAGTCGAGTTAGTCAAATAGTAGAACTGGTTTATATGGGCAGAGAGCTACAGCAAAAATTACTTTTTAAAGTTTTCTTCTTTTATTAAAATGAACTTTCTCAAATTAAATACATCCTCTTATAGCAACTCTTTTTATCTACTTGTGGATGGTTTAATCCCAAATGCTTCCTGTAATTGAGGGACAGTATGAGAAGACTAGAAAATATCTCATCAGATAAGCTTGAACAAGGGCTGTAACTCCCACTTACCCTAAGAAACTTACAAATAAGAGTGAATAGCAAGAGTGTTGGAGAGTCATAGATACATATGAAACTTTCCTTTGTTCCTTTTGCAGTATGTAAAATGTTTGCAGAAAGATGGTAGAAAATGTTACTAATAAATTTAGAGTGGTCTGGGGAGTATACTGATGCATCCTCTTTGAAAATTATAAGGAGTTAAAAGGAGAACTATGTAAGAACCCAAAGTGGCTGGCCTCTAGCTTTTCAACACTCTGTAAGTGTTCTTGGTTGTGTTTTGAACACTCAAATTTCTCAACAAATGGCTGTGTCTTTATTTATGTATTGCCCTACTTGCATGCCATTTTCACACACTTTTACCTGAAGTCGGTGTGAATTCTGTATGCATAAGGGATGTATCGAAGAAGCAGGATCAT